GGTGAGAGCGAGTCACTTGTCCTGAAAAGCAGGAATATAAGCATTAAAGGATTATTTTATTAAGGAAGTTTAGCCTATCAACTGGATAGATTTTTGTTGAATTTTATTTAAAACTATCTCAACTACCTAAACATGACATCATTGTCTATATAGTTGCAAATATGCAACTTGGCTTTGAAATTACTTGGAATCAGTGTCTAAAAGATGACAACAATTAAGATGTCAAAAATAAAAAGAACCATTGTTTCTCCATACAAGTCAGATGTTGTATGTGCTCTTTTATGTGCAAGAAGATGGAGCCCTTTATCTGGGTTGAAAGTAAGGGCCAGATTTGCTATGCTCTCCAATTTTAAACAGTAATTAAAATATAATTTATAACTAATTCTGGTAAAGTTTATTTTTTTTTATCTGAAGGGTTGTGCTTTGTTTTTCTAAGGATCATTATGAGTAAGAGTCATTGCCTCTCAGGGCTTGGCAAATCCCAAAGCTCTGTCTCTCTGTTCCCCTCCCTTTCAGTTCCTTTTCTTTTTATCTCCCACTCTGATTCTTTCCTTTAATTGGCTCTAATATAAAACTGAAGTATATCTGGTAAATAGTGCTTTGAGCTCTCTGTTTCTAATTTAAAGCATGGATGAGTAGGAGACTTTTCTCTGTCTAAATAAACATAACAAACAGCACCCTAAATCAACTGTTTTGTTTGGTTCTTGGTTTTTATTAGGATGGGTCAGTAACCCTGGATTAACAGACCCACAAAAAATGTTACCTCTACCAAAGACGAAGCAAGAGTGACTGCATTCTGGGGAATCGGGGCAAGCAGCAGAAGAGATACTGGTAGCTTTTCAGTACACAGTGATTTCATGTGAAACATCAACTCTACAGGATGTTTCCAGGTTGGTGGGAAGAAAGGTAAAATTTCTAGTGCTCTTGACTGTTTGAACATGCTTTATTAACCCTTCAATTCAGCATCTTCCGAGGCAATCTGTGCCTTCCTTCAGTCCAGCTACAGAGTATCCCAGGTCGTTTTACACAGATCCTCCTCCTGATCGGAATTTTAAGGAGTCGTGCTCTAATTCCTTTCTTTGTTGATGGAGACAACAAAGGCCAAACTCAAGGGCCTTGTCCAAGGTCATAGATAAGTCATGGGAAAGTCAGTCTTAGAAATAAGCTTCCAAGTCGCTTCATGTCTTTCATTCCTCAAAAATGTATTAAGAGCCTACTGTGAGCAAAGCCTTAGGCTAAGCCCTGGAATATATTTAAAAAAAAGAAAGCAGAGATGATTTGTGCTGTCATGGGACTAACTTTGTGATGTTCTTTCCAGTTCTTTCCATCACTTGCTGGTCAGTGGACGGTTGTTTTCAGTAGATGGCAGCTTCGACTGTTATGGTAGACAGTTTTGAGGAGTATATAGTAGAAGTGTCTTAAAATCAAAGGTTACAAATTCATCACTATGGTTTCAAGTACTGAATAAGCCAGATGGTATCTTGTGGGCATAAAGAACTTTATTATTTTTGACTAGTTTAATGAAACATAATTTTCTGATATATTAATAACTGTAATAAAATTTTTCATTCACTGTTTAGTTATTTTCCTATGTGAAAATTATAACAATTTCTTTATAAATTGTGTTTTTTAATTTTGTTTTTTAAAGTGCCCACTGGTATAGTGCACCTAGCAGGGCTGAATGTTTATATAAAAATATTTTAATGGACTAATAAGGAATAATGATAACTATACCAATAATAGACATTTCCAAATTAGACATTCCACTTAACACTGAATATTTACTATGTTAGTCTTTATGCCTAATCTATGGCATAAATACTGATAGAATAAGATGTGAGGGGTGCCTGGGTGGCTCAGTCATTAAGTGTCTGCCTTTGGCTCAGGTCATGATCTCAAGGTCCTAGGATCGAGCCCCGCATGGGGATCTCTGCTCAGCAGGGAGCCTGCTTCCCCTTTCCTCTCTGCCAACTTGTGATCTCTGTCTGTCAAATAAATAAATAAAAATCTTTAAAAAAAAAGAAGTTTTAAAAAAAGGATAAGATGTGAAATTCAGGGTTACAGAAATAAAAGAACTTGCCGCACAGCAGGTGAATGACAGAGGTGGTATCTGTCAGCTACATGTCCAGAAGGAACACTCTTCACACTCTGTGACTCAGGATGTCCAGACATACAGAAAAGTATTTCAATTGTTACATGTAGGTCTTCACTTGAAGAGGGTTTTTCATGTTTTATATAAAGCCTGAGCATGTATAATAAAAATTAATTTGTAGTTTTACTTCTTTCTGTCCAAGTGTTCCATTTATAAAAGATAATTAAAGTCAAATAAAATTACCTACAAGCAGAAAAAAACAGATTGGGAGGAAGTATGGATAACTTAGTTAACATTCTATATTTCTCAAGACTATACTTTGTCTTTGAATAAGGAGTGAATTCTTTTTCCTGAGGTTAGAAATAGTTAAAACTTGTAATTTTTCCCCAAGATTTGTGAGATAGTGTTAAACAACTCTTATTATTTCTATTTTATGCTTTTAGGATAGAGGCTATCTTTATATTCAGTCATAGTTGTAAGAGCTTTCATATTTAAAAATCTTAGCTAATATTAGTTACATTTAAATTCATTCTCTCAGTGTGTTTGTATGGTATGGTACGGTGTGGTAGGTATGTAATTTTCATGAACTAAAAATCTGAGCTCTACGAGTATTGCATAAATTTAACAGCAATTAATTAATTATTTAGTTCTAAGAGCCAAGAGTGTCATATTTTCAAATTTAGACAGTTTGTATTTTTTTTTTAAGATTTATTTATTTGTTTGACAGAGAAAGAGAGAGACACTGCAAGCAGGCAGAGCAGCAGGCAAAGGAGGAGGGAGAAGCAGACTCCCCACGAGTAGGGAGCCCGATGAGGGGCTTGGTCCCAGGACCCCGGGATCCTGATCTGGGCCAAAGGCAGCTGCTTAACCCACTGAGCCACCCAGGCGCCCCCCTAGACAGTTTGTATTTTTAAATTGTAAAGATTCTGTCTTCATGAATGAGAAAAGAAATGAACTGTATCTTTTTGAAACTTTATTTTATTATACTAAATAAGAATTTGAAATTTTAATTTCATTTTGGGTTTACAAAGTCACTATTAGCTGATTTTCATTGCCCTATTTTACCAATAAGTGTGTCAGCATCAGCAGCATTGCTTCACTTTGTCAGTGGTCATGAGTTATAGCTCTACGGACCAGCGCGCTTCATCTAACAATTATCCTTCTGGGTGCCTGGGTGGCTCAGTTGGTTAAGCATCTGCCTTCAGCTGAGGTCATGATCCCAGAGTCCTGCCGGCTCCCTGCTCAGCGGGGAGCCTGCTTGTCCCTCTCCCTCTGCCCCTCCCCCTGCTCATGCTCTCTCTCTCTCTCTCAAATAAATAATTGAAATCTTTTTTTTTTATTTTAAATAAATAAAAAAATAAACAAAAATTATTACCTTGAAAATGGTTATTTTTCTGTTTTTTAGAACATTTTTAATTTATTATATAATCATAAAGTTTTCTTATTCCAAAGACAGTGTTCATTTAAAAAATCTTGTTTAAGGAGAAAATATATTGAAGAGTGAAGTCATGAAGTTGTATTAAACTATATATAAGCAACTGATATGATATAACAAATTTGTTTTGAGTAAGAACCTTTTGATAACTTGTTGCAAAATATGGTACAGTAAATTAAATTCCTTAAGAAATGTTTTCTATATTTTAGGATAAAAATTCTTTTCAACTGTCTTTGATACATTTTTACATATTTACTAAAGAAAACATGTCAAATATAAAAGTGTACACAGATGCTTAATTAGCTTTATTCAGAGGGGAGTTTTTAAAAGTCATTTTCTAATGGTGCCTAGATAATGTTATAAATCAAAAGTGCCATTAAAAAGTGTCTATGGGGATTCCTCAAAGTAACTGATCTTGAAGATTTTTAAAAAGGCACAGGTTTCCAAAAACAGCAATTCTGATGCAATCTCTAGATCCTGTGATTTTGAAGTCATGAGAGACCATGGCTGGTCGGTTCATATATTATTCAATATACTCTAAATATCTGATTGGCTGTGGGCCAAAGGCTGGTGTTCTGGTTACATTTGTATCTAACATCCAGCTGCCTGGTAATTGACCTGCTACTGCTCCAGCTGATTCTGAAGCTGCCAGTGTTGCAAGATGGTTGTTGAAGAAGGAAAGTGTAGAAGGAGGAGGAGGACATAGAGGAGGAAGACAATGACAGGGTCATGCAGATGCACTGGGATACAGCTACTCACTCGTCACACTGCATTCTGTAATCATCGGTGGCGATCAAAATTACGAAAACCGTGTTAATGCGTAAAATATTGTATTCACATTTTGGTATTCCTTTCCCATCAATTTAAAACATAACTTGTTGATTGGTTAAATTAAGAAATGGGAGCTGACTCTCCCTCCCAAAAAAGGATGTAAATTTCAAATAAAATTCAAAATGCAAGCTGACTATACGAATGATGACGTCCCAAACAAGGAAAAGTAATCTAACCATAACATACTTAGATCATCAGATTTAATAATATATATTAAATCCCATTGCCATTATTTGCATAAAATACCAGTTTCTGTAATGGACTGTGTACACTAACACAGAAATTGACCTAGAAGTTGAAAACTCAGTTAAGAAGTCCTATAATATTTGACAGTTACTAAAACAAATACAGATAGATTTACATACAAAATTTACATAATTTTGGCTCTCTTCTCACTACCTGACTTTATTCTTATCTGTCCACTAATTTTGTACAGTTGGGCTTCAGATTTCATCAGTCTCTGCTCTATATATTTCACAAAGCCAAGTTCAATATATTTCAAATTGTTTTAAACAATTTATTTTAAATGTTATAAGTCGCCTATATTTCATACATTTTATCAGAACATGATGGAAACATGCACATGGCACTGCATTCACCAATGACAACTGGTCAACTTGAAAGTGTTTTACATGTACTTACTTGAAATAAAAGAATATACCAAGCGAGATAAGCAGTGAGGCGATGGACAGTCCATGTCCGATTATCGTCAGGTAGAACAGGTTCAGCGCGGTCTGTAAGTCGCACAAACAACAACACAAGTAAGGGCCGTGTCAGTACTATAACCTCCCTGTGTAAAACTGAACTCAATAGAGTAACCTGTGTCTTTGAGAATATGTGCTCTGAGAGCCTTGCCCTCTAGCTTGTATTAGACATTTGAATACGTCTGGAATGAAAAATAGCTATGCAAATTTATCGAGTGACATCAAAATTTACAAATTGTGTGCCCTTTTTATTTAAGAAATTAGAAGTCATAGGAGAGGAAGGAATAATTTTATTGATCTCGGTTGTGTAATATAAGAAACTAGCATTTTATGTTTTGAAAGATATTGGCAATTTTCACTCTATCACTTTGTGCACATTGAATCAAACGCTCTGTAGTTATTTTTGTGTGTTTTGTTTAGATAGAGCTTTCTTTATTACTGGGTTTTTCTCTTTCCTTTGACTATTTGAGACTCCAAGACAAATCTCAATATAGTAATTATAGGAGCCTCTGATATGAATGTACAAATATGTTCTTTCGCATGATTTTGACTTTTCCTCTGATTTTTTAATTTTTCTATATTCCATCTATTTGTAACTTATTATTTATTGTGTATTTTTATAATTCTCTTTAAACCCTTCTCTGAGTTAACAAAGAATACATGATTTATAGTTATGCTGATAGCGGACAGTTATCAAATGCTCAGTCTATGCTGTAGTTTTTTAAGGTTTTTCCTTGTATTATGTCAATGCATACCGAAACCTTGAGGGTGAGTTTACTGTTATCTTCATTGCATACTCCAGGGAGCAGAGGCTGAGAGAGGTCATAGTTCGCCTGAGGTCCTCGGGCTGGTCAAGGGCAGGAGCAGGAAGTCCCATTTCAGGACCGGGCCTCAGTCACTGACCAGCTCGTCTGCGTCCCCCACGAGCACATACGTGCAGGCACCTCTGCCAGAGCTTCTTCGTGACAGACCGTGACTAGCCTTGATTTGCGTGTGGTGCTGAGAGTGGGAACGTGGGAAGGCCCTGGAACCGGTCGGCAGGACAGCCTGCCACCGGGGGACAGGGAGGGCCGTTCAGACGCTGCTGGGCTCCCTGTCCACTCGAGCACAGTTCCTGAACTTAACTCTCAGAATTCCCACCACTGAAACGGTCCCTTTTCTTATGCTTCCCAAGTATGCTTTCTTGGGGAAATTTGAAACTCTACTAGTGACACACGGACGTGTAGACACCCTGTCACCTAACGGGGTTACTTCCTCCGCGTCATGACAGAATGAACGATTATTTCCACAAAGACTTTTCTCCATTGTTTTTCTCAAAGTATATTATGAACATCGAACGGAACACAAAGTAAATTTCCTCCAACCTGTACCGGCAACTAACTTTTTAAACAGTGTGGACCGCGGGTCGGTTAATTCGCATTCCGTACCTTCACTTTCTCGTGTGTGTTCACGTTGCACTGGGTGTAATTGGTCCACGTCCGGTTGCTCAGTGGGTGTCTAAACCAGTTTCCATCTTGGTCACAGATCTTTGTAACTTTTTCTTTATAATTAAAAAGAAAAGAAGTGGACAGTCATTTAATTAACTTGGGGTTTACTTAATTTCCTTTAATTAATGTAAGCGGATCTGTATATAAATTTCCGCTTTTACCTGATGGGTCAAAGTCCTGAAAGTAATCGGGGCAGTGCTGTATCGACTCGGTTCCGGCGGCGACGTCGTTCCAGCACAGCCACCCGTCCCAGGTTCTGTTGCAGTAAATGCCTGAAGGGGGAGGAAACATCAGCGGTTGCTAGAGCTTCTAGCTGCACCTGGAGACATCAAAATCTTCCTGGTGGGTTAATACCGACGTGAAATACAGACCACCGACTGAACATGAAGACGACATATACAATCTGTAGCTATTACTTAAATTTTTCACTTAGTAACTACTGGAAAAACTGCTAAATTCAACTCAGAAATATCTGAGTATATTTAAAAGTTTAACTTAAATTCCAATTCTCAAAGGCAGGTCTTCACTCAATAAATCGAGTGGTCTTTGCTAGTTTTCCTTAACCATAAAGGTAGTAGTTACTTAGTGTCCCTACACTTAAATTTAAAAAAAAAAAAAATGGGAAATTGGAAAATGTGTTATCTTAGAAACTCTGTTCCTAGGGCAAGGTGTTAGTGTTTTCTGGAAAAAAAAAAAAAAAATGAATACTCCAACATTTCCCATTTCACTACATTGACCTTAACAGATACAGGGGGACCTTTCCACCAAATTCTAGCTCTTACTTGCCTTCCTTTACTTTTCAAATGGAGTGGACTGTCTAACATTCTCACAATTTTCTTTTACCACCCTGTTACACGAAAAAATGTTTTTTTTTTTTAAGGCATAAAGAGATGACCAGCGTTCCAAAGTTATAACAGTCTATAATCAAAGAAAATAATTTTCCACCTCGTCAGGCAAGCACTCATAGATAGAAGCCCGAATGTTGTCTGAGATGTTTATTATTTTTAACAGATTTGTGCCACAATCTCAGAAAAATTCTATTGGCCTGAAAGTATAAATAATTCTGATTAAAACAAAACTCAGATCGTCTCCTTTTTTTCTCCTGTGATTTTTCAAACACTTATTCACATAGTCTGCATTCACATATTACTAAATAAAATACATTTGGGGGCCTATCAGAGAAGAATTCCCTGATAGAAAGCATCTCAAATAAGTCTTATCACTGATCCAAAAGATTCTACTTAATTAATGACAACACTGGCAGTATGATAGATTTCAAGGCCCAGGAACTTTCAAACTGTGTTGTATGGCATTTGAGGAGACAGGAGTAGGTATTCCATTAAAAGAGTTTCTATGGTCAAAAAACTTGGTAAGCACAAAGTGAACATAACGACAGTTCTTCATTGCAAGACTTCTAGAGTATTTAAAATTACAAAGTGTGTTACGAAGCTGCAACAGAAGGATTGATTACTGTTATTCTAAAACTATTGTATCACAAAATTGTCTCATAAAGATATCCCTGTTGTTCAACAATTAGATTTGAAGCTGCTTTTACATATATCTACATGATCTGGAAGGGGTCCATTCAATCATTTTGAACTTACAACACTTAGATTTTAATGGAATAAAGTGAGAAGCAAGAGGGATTAACACAGAATTTGTATACAATTCATGTACTTGATAATTTAACTCCTATTGATATAATACCAGATATTTCGTCATTGTCTATATATTTCAAAGACATTTTTAACTGGATAAATTTCTCATAATAGGGCACCTGGGTGGCTCAGTGGGTTAAACCTCTGCCTTCAGCTCAGGTCATGATCCCAGGGTCCTGGGATCGAGCCCCACATCAGGCTCTCTGCTCAGCGGGGAGCCTGCTTCACGCACCCCTTTCTCTCTCTGCCTGCCTGTGATCTCTGTCAAATAAATAAATAAAATCTTTGAAAAAAAATGTTTGGATATATATATCTAAATCGTTCTCCAAAGATAAACTACATTGTTCATTCAGATTCTTCATCAAGAAGAATTGTTCATTAAGATTGTAAAAGTTGCCCAGTGTGGGAAAATCACCTTTTTCCTCACAAACAAGTTCATTTTGTCAATTACAAATATCAGTAATAAACTACTTTTAACATTTTGTTTATATAAGAAACATTCCATATTATACCATCAAATATTTTCCCCCAAATTTTAAGATCTTTGTTTCCACTGATAATTTAGAAATAGTGAAAGTCTTTACATTTTTGGTATGTTTCGTTGTGAGTTTTGCATTTTATATTTGGAAGATATATCCTATTTTTATGGCTGCCAGATAAAATATAGAGCCTGGTATTAGTTTTGATTTTTTAGTTTGTTTTTGTTAAATCTGACAACTCTCTCTGTGCCACTCATCCGTGTATCTTAAGAAGCTAGGCAGACATCTGGCATTTTGCAGTCCCTCAGTAATGTTACAAAAATATCTAAAGAATATCTTAATAGAAACAGAAGCACTTAGAATTTATTAGCATTGCTACAAATATATTATGTAAAAAAAAGTTATAATTTTGTTGTGCCAACTCCTATCAAACAGCTTGTGAAAAAAAAAATACAAATTACATAAACTGAAGATCAATGGCCACTGATTTAATTCAAGGTGGACATTTGATATTTTAAATATCTTTGTACCTTAAAAACTGTTACTAAAAATATTTCTGTTACACATATTTCTTAGTAGAATTTTTTGAAAGAAGCAAGATAAATTATGTCATAAAATGTTCATGTATTATTGAGAATGCACACATGCCAGGAAAGCTAACAACTAATCCATTTTTAGTAAGGGACCTAAAGAACCCATAAATGATGTCATGGAGTAGCTTTCTTTTAAGAATACATCAAGTGCATTTAAAATTAAAAATTTGGGGTGCCTGGGTGGCTCAGTGGGTTAAAGCCTCTGCCTTCTGCTCAGGTCATGATCTCAGGGTCCTGGGATCGAGCCCCACATCAGGCTCTCCGCTCAGCGGGGAGCCTGCTTCCCCTTCTCTCACTAGCTGCCTCTCTGCCTACTTGTGATCTCTCTCTCTCTCTTTCAAATAAATAAATAAAATCTTTAAAAAAATAAATAAAATTAAAAATTTTATCATGTTTACCTTCTGTTTGTTGAATCGGATCTTGCATAATTTTTTGGTAACATTCGTACTGAGCTGTCATGATTTTATTTCTAGTATAGACACCGAACTGACTTAAGCCATCAGTGTTCTCTTCTGATTCTGCTATGTCAAGAATCTAAGGGATTTAAAAAAAAAAAAAAAAAACTTCAGAATTGTGAGAATGTCCGTCAGAGGCAGTCTGTCCCATGGAAAACCGTCACTGCAGTGATGCGCTCCACGGTCGTCTGGCTCTGGAGGGGACTCCCTGATCTGAAGTGTTTGCCAGTTTTCATGGTTTAAATATCCCCACCGTGGTTAGTTCCAAGTGCCCCAAAGCGCTGCTAATGGCGGCTGTGGTCCACACACGGCTGTCTGGAGCCTGGGGAGCCGGCCCTGGGACGTGCACTCGGGAATATGGACGGAGCTGTGGTCCAAGTCCTTCGTGCGTGTTCTCCGGCTCTGTGAACACAGGCAAGATCTTTAAGGCCCCCGAGACCCTGAGCTTCATTATTGTCCAGTGGAGTAAGTCAGTACCAGGATAACAGAGGGCAGTGTCTGATGTGTGGCAAATATTCAAAATTTTCATTCTTATCATCATGTTTTGACAATCACAATATTGAGAATATTCATCTGTGGGCAAATGGAATTTCATTGTCTGCACATCAGCAAGTGTTTTTGGACAAAGCATAGATTTATGATCTTCCAACTCAGAAGCACTATTTTAAGCTTCACTTCAGTTTCAGTATCTATATGACTTGTTTCTGTTTTGTAATAGGAAGCCTGTATAACCTGTCTTCGACCTTATTTCTTCTTTACTTTTCCATTATTTCTACCAATTTCCATAAGCAGTAATTTTCTACTTTTATTTTGTCACCTTTTTCTTTTATTCTATTTAAGTTCAACTAGCCAACGTATAGTACATCTTTAGTTTTTGATGTAGTGTTCATTGATTCATTAGTTGCATATAACACCCAGGGCTCATCATATCACGTGCCCCCCTTAATGACCACCGCCCAGTTACCCTGTCCCTCCACCCACCTCCCCTCCAGTAACCCTCAGTTTGTTTCCTGGACTCTCGTGGTTTGTCTTCCTCTGTGATTCTTCCCATTCAGTTATCCCTCCCTTCCCCTATGATCCTTTACCCTATTCTTTACATTCCACATAATAATAAAACCATATGATAATTTTCTGTCTCTGATTGACTTATTTCATTTAGCATAATACCCTCGGGGTCCATCCACATTGATGTAAATGGTGGGTATTCATCCTTTTTGATGGCTGGGTAAGATTTCACTGGATGCATGAACCATTTCTTCTTTATCCATTCATCTGTTGAAGGACATCTTGGTTCCGTCCACGGTTTGGCGACCGTGGCCATTGCTGCTATGAACATTGGGGTACAGATGGCCCTTCTTTTCACTACATCTGTATCTTTGGGGTAAATATCCAGTAGTGCAATTGCAGGGTCATAGGGAAGCTCTATTTTTAATTTCTTGAGGAGTCTCCACACTGTTCTCCAAAGTGGCTGCACCAACTTGCATTCCCACCAACAGTGTAAGAGGGTTCCCCTTTCTCCACATCCTCTCCAACACATGTTGTTTCCTGTCTTGATAGCTTTGGCCATTCTAAGTGGTGTACGGTGGTTTCTCAATGTGGGTTTGATTTGTATTTCCCTTGTCCCCTTACTCTTGATTCTCTGTTCCCTAGCCCAAATTTGTATTTAATAAAGTCTAAATAGAAATATTCTCCCAGTGTGTGGCACCACTTAATTTCACTATTGCCTGCCCACCATTTAACATGCTCACTCTCTCTCTCTCTCATTCTGTGATTAGTTTAATTTCCTAATAAAGATTTATGCAGCAGTTAGCTGCACAAGCCATGAACATAAATTTACAGCATTGAGAAAATTAGTATTTTTCTCCTGTTCTCAGGAAGTTTATGGAATTGCATAAATCAATATTTTTATTCTTAAAAACTCAGATTTGCAAAAAAAAAAAAAAACCCTCAGATTTGCACACTGTGTGAGTTCAAGAAAAATGGTCACAATCCTTAAATTACAGTAGTCAGACTGGTCATCTGATACAGAGTCACCTGCACGCAAGGAAGTCGGCAGGCGCGGCTCCCGGCACCGCAGCGGAGGAAGCGAGCGGAGGGAGCAGGCGTCCTGCTCCTGGAATCCCAGTCCGTGCACCTACGATAACAGCGGAGGCGAGCAGGCCTGGCACGGCTCCTGGACTGGAGAATGTTTTCAAATTCAAATGCGGACAGGAATGTAGTCTTGCTTTTTTCCGTTTAGGTTTTCTGTATTTTTCTTGAGTCTCTGTTTGCCTCTCTTTATGGGCTGGCGTGGGAACACCGCAGCAAAGTTATTTGCCGGCACAGAGTGAGATGGGATTCCCTCCTGTTCCTGCCGCACAGAAGGCGACAAGGGTTCGGGCGCTCTCCACGTGGCCCCGAGGAAACTGTAAACAAAATACTTGTGTAACTGAAGACAACACGACCTGTACTGAGGACTTGACCCTCCAGGGCGGCGGCAGGCGGTCGTTTCCCTCCACCTCTAGCCTCATTCCCTGCAGATGCCCGCAGGGCCGTGCAGGGGTGCAGCGGCGCAGACACCTGCTCCAAGCTTACGTCAAGGCCTGTCAGCAAACAGACACTCGGTACTGGAATGAATGGACCAGGGAAGGAATTTGCCAGCAGCGCGGGTTTCGGTAAGTGCGCACGAATGCGAGGCGGAATGAGAGAGAAACCAGCGGGGTGGCCTGCTTTTAAAATAGATCTACCCGGGGGCCGGGGTGGCTCCGTGGTTAAGCCGCTGCCTTCGGCTCAGGTCGTGATCCCAGGGTCCTGGTGATCCCAGGGTCCTGGTGATCCCAGGGTCCTGGTGATCCCAGGGTCCTGGGATCGAGCCCGCATCGGGCTCTCTGCTCAGCAGAGCCTGCTTCCCCCTCTCCCTCTGCCTGCCTCCCTGCCTACTCGTGATCTCTGCCTGTCAGATAAATAAATAAAATCTTAAATAAATAAAATAGATCTAACTCGGAGTCAACAGGTCTGGCTGAAAAGATTTGACCTACTATGTACGACTACACTTTGGAGCCGTTTCATTCTTTCAAGCTCCGCCGTCTTCTACAGTCCATCACCAACCTTCCCCCGCCGCCTCGCCATCCCGTAGTGGCTCCCCTTGAATTAAACCTGAACTTGTGTACACTGAACGGAAATAAAATATTGCTTTGTTGATTAAAATGTACTTGACTTATGCATCAAATAACTGCATGTCATTCTGGTGTTATTAATCCTTATTAATTAAAGTAAATTGGAAATTAAAACAAATCATCATAAATAGGGATTTACACCAGAGGAATTTATACCTACCGTAAAAAAAGGCAGGACTAGCAGCAAATACAGGATACGCTTTTTCTCCATCACTGAAGCCAAAATGAACTATGTTATACAATGTAAGTCAAACTGCAACTAAGATGAAAGAAATGTAATTAATCAGTATTTACAAAATACAGGTGGCACTCAATGATAAATTTTTTAAAGCTATATAGTAATTTTGCTTTAAGGATTTGATTGATAGTTTTATATATTACAGATGTTAAGAGCATTGGGTGCTTGGGTGGCTCAGTCAGTTAAGCATCTGCTTTTGGGTTAGCTCATGATCCCAGGGTCCTCAGATCCTGCCCTCATCAGGCTCCCCTCTGCCCCTCCCCCATTTGTGCGTGCGTGCTCTCACTCTCTCTCTTTCTCAAATGAATAAATAAAGAACATTATGGCTTAAAATACTAAAGGGCCTAAATGCATTTCAGTTTTACAAACAGAAAAGCTTCTTACATATATATTTTTAAGTAATTAGAAAACGCCTTGCTTTCTTTGCCTTTACCAAAATTGGAATAAAATGATTAAAGTCTCAAAATAAAGAGCTTCACAAGAATATAGAAACACAAAATTTGATAACATATCTTACTATAAAGCTCACCTTTATTTCCTATAAATAATTAACCTCATTTTTAATTTTCCAACTCTTCAATAATTTAAGGAGAAAATTGTTAATCAGGCCAATTCCTTGAGAATTAACAACCATGTGTCATAAAAATGGCCTTATAACTTAATAGAAATTCATCTTTAATCAGGAAATAAAAGATTTCCCTATCTATGTTATTCCCCATCTATGTTATTAAAATAAAGTTACAGGAAGTGGGCAATACTACATAAAGTATTTCTGTTAAATATTTCTGACAGTAGATATAATTCTGAAGTAATGAAAATGGCCTCTAAAACAATACCCCTAACTTATTAGTTCTTAGAAACAAACGTTGCTGGGCTTGCTTACTCACGATAAGGTCCATGAGCAACCTACTTTGACAGTAGTTTTATGATATAAGTTATCACAATGTAGTCATAATATATTTATTTAACTGAACGTGTAAGCAGTATTTTTCAAGGCAAGGGAGATTTAAGAAATCCAATCAATAGATATTTGCCAGAAAACCATGAACTTACACTTTATTGTTAAGAAACTTGTCATGATTTTTATTACAGGGCCAATGTTAGAGTAAGACTTATAAAAATCATTTCCATAATATTTCCATAAAATCATTTCCAATAATAATATTTATTATTTTCATTATCACTTGCACCAAGAGCACATCAGTTTCTAGAGCATAGACTCTATGTCATTGTTTATCCTCACCAAGGACTCACCTAGACACAGCTTTTCTTCTTAACTATAGCAATCTTCCAAATAATGTTTTCTCTTCTATCAGCTATACTGGGTGTTTATTATTAGTTGATCTTAAAAAAAAAAATCAGGAGGCATTGTATTAATTTTAATATTAAAAAACATATTGTAACAGAAGGAAAACAATGAATCAAAGTTTTTGTAATTTAGTAATGAATGCGTTGATATTTTAGTTTTTATTACATTTTACCCTGAGAAAATCTAATTTTCTAATACTTACATACACAGTTGTCTCCAGACTCAAATTACATTTTCCCTCGGATCATATTGGACACTGTCCTGAAGAATCCCTTAAATCCAAGGGTCATGACCTGAAATATTGATTGATGTAATAATTTAATGTTATTTCAAGGAAACAATAAAATTTCCATGGTAAATTGAAATTTTCAAAGAAAATGCCACCATTAAAATATTTTTATTAAGCTATTCCAATTTTTAAAAACCTCTTTTGCTTACAATACATTTGAATTTTTTCACAAATATTTGTTGTTTTCCATTATACGGAGAAAGTTAAATTAATTTCCATTCATCCAAGATAGCTAAGATCCTGAAATTTTAAGTTAAACTAGTTTAATTTTCCTTTAAATGACTTTCTTCAATAACGTCTTAGAATTTGTTAATAGTCTTGGTGACATATACCCATTTCTTTTGCTGGTATGGTTTCTCAAAGCCAGGAGCCATAGCTGATCACTCCAAGTATCTTTGGTGACTGGCAGTTAATTTCCATTTGCTATACAAATAAATAAGTAAATGAATAAAAAAAGTAAACCAAAAAACTACTTTAGGATTTTTAAACTTAGAATCGAGAAAAATAATCATAAATTTTAAATAAATGCCATTACTTCTATTAGAAGGCTTTGATAGTGTTGGAATCTATAAATTAGGGGAAATAACAATAAAAATTAGGGGGAAAAAGGTCTTATATTAGCATTTTTACTTTCTAAAAAAGCAATGTGCTGAAAACTTTATTTTTCAAGGTCTGTGACTGTTTGGGTATTGAATAAACAGTAGTTTGCTGTACCGACTTTCGAAGTCTTCATGAAGGTGAAGCCAAACTTAAAGCATTGGTAGTTCACATTCCTTTGTATATGGATGTATGTGATCCAGAAATACACCAATAAGAATGTAAAGAAGTATTATTCTATTTGGAAGATTTTTAGTTTTTTATGAAACAATGCTTTGATGATTTACACATGAGTCAGGATTAAACTAACTATAATACAGACCTACGCTCAAAAAAGTGCTTCAGAACCATGTTTGGAGTTTTGCCAAACCCTGTATATTTGAAAAAACATCTCACCCGACACCTGTAGGTATGTGCATTGCTTATCTAATCAGAGGTTTCAAAACAGAGTTCCAAAAAGTATGTCAGTAAAAAACCTCCCTGTGTTTACTAGATTATTCTGGCCCGGAATTTAAGAAGATTTTATTCATTTCACGAAATATTTACCAACGTAGCTATTCTGCTTTCATAGCTTCCTTCTTTACCCCATTCCTTTGTGATCTGGAGAATGTATTACCCGTAACAAGGTTGGTTTTTGCCGTGTGTGCACGTGCAGCACCCCGAGTCGGGGCCGTCTGCAGCCCCGGTGTCATCAAGGACGCAGCAGCAAGTTTAGGCGGCCGTCCCAGACCCATGGTGGCACCTGTGCTCCCTGACATCCAACGATGACCCTTTCACGTGGTCATCCGGCTCCTGTGAGTCACCCCCCGACAAAGGACCTACCAGCTTTCCTTGTGGCAGACCCACGTGGTGAGGGGCAGTGACAGAGCCGTCACCATATTCGCCAAACGTTCTCAAGGTCAGTAATGGAGGGCTCGTGCCTGGGCGTGCAGCTAACACCACTGAAGACACACCTGAAGGCCGGTTTAGACCGCACGTCCAGCCGGCAGAAGTGATGGCCCCGCCGTTCCCAGACTGTGTGTGACTGTACCTAACTGTGTCCTCACTTTAACTTTGTGGTTCTTTGCTTGCTGCCTCTCGTATGTTCCTTCAGCAAGGGCTTCTCTCTTCTCGATTTAGCTTATTCCGAATTTATCTTTGCTCAAATATATTTGATGCTAACTGACTAAAGCTGGTAGGCAAATCATGGTAAATGTCTTTCTATGTCTTGTTAAATAATCTACTGACAACCGAGTCGCATGTTGTCTCATGAGACGCAGTAGCTCCCATTCAGTTCTAAAGAGAGATGAAGGAGGCCATGTAGGGTCACGTTAAATGACTAAATCTGCCAGTGGGTTTTTCCAAGTGTCCTCAGATTTGTTTAGTAGGAAAAGGGCTTGTTCAAAACTAAGAAAGCTCTAATTTAAACTCTTAAGTGAATTTGTAATCATAATGGTACTCACAGTCCTTACTGGCATTTTCTCTAACTGCTAGCCTCATGAAACCTATCAGTACCGTTATATTTTCATTTCTCAAAATTAAAGTGGAAGATTTGGTTCTATTACTAGAAACAAAATAATTTTCTTTACTGTACACATGGAATAAAATAGTAGTTTATTTCTAAATTGTCTTCATTTTTTGGCCAAAGAATCACCAACATAAAGTAAAAATGATTTATTTCATCATAGAACTTTGAAGATGAAGAATATTTTAAAACCTCAAAGAACTTTTGAAATATAGCTTCCTAGGCACTCAGGACTTATGTAATCTCATTCTGGTTTCATTTCCTAAGATTACCATTGAACTCTACTACAAGACATTTTTCATGGATCTACATTTCCAACTCCAAAACTTTCAACCAATCTTTTTTGCTTGCTTCAGTGTAAAAGCATGTTTTATTCTGCATAAAAAATTACAAATCAGTGTGACTTAATCAGTACTAAGTTATCAGAATACAAAAACCTAAATCCTATAAATGCATAGCAGTACATTGCAAACCTGCTTCTTATTTTCTAAAAAATTTATTATTCCTGTACACACTTTTTATTAATGTGCTTTTCTTTGTAACAGTTCTTAGTTTTAGTTGAGTTACCTAACCCTGATACTAAAAGTCTATGTTTGCTCCAAGATTAAGGAAAACAAAACCAAACAACTTCCACCCCTCCATTTCCAAAATATCTTGTATTTTGGGGGCCTCTGCCATGTTTTCTTCTCCCCTTACTTATCCAGTCACTACAAAGTGGGCTCACAGGGGCACGTATCTCATGTACCTCATTTGAGGATTTTCTATTTAGTACACGCCTTTCCCCTATAGCATATTCAACACATACATTTCTTTTTTTTTTTTTTAATTTGAATTCAATTAATTAACATATACTGTAGCACTCAGCGACCCCATCCCATCCCATAATCCTCAGTTGGTTTCCTACGATCAAGAGTCTCTTATGGTTTGTCTCGTGCTACCTTTCTGAATCAAAATAGGGAAAAGCCCTCCTCCAACCCAGTCTTCCACACCTGAAAGGCAAATGGAATCTTCTGTCGTTGTACACTGTGTGAGAGACTGTGCCACTGAGTAAAAATGTCAAAGTATAAGATCTGGGTTACCTTCTATTTTCTCCTCATTGCCTTTGTTTTTTTGTTTTGGTCAAAACCTAAGTGTTTCTGCTAGAATTATCCTTGCAAGTTACTGTCTTTACTTTCGATGAAATCTTTAAGAAATATATACAGTACAAGGTTTTCAGTCACTACCCCCATTCTGGCCTATAATGTCCTTAACACTTTCAATACATGAAGCAGTAAGAAAATTAAAATATAAGGACCACTTCCTAAATATCTGTTACT